ATGATTTCATAAAATACCCACCTATTAAAATGCATTAAAGATGAATAAACACAATTTAACAAATAATATGATTACCTGATTCTTGTGTGTAGATCCCATCTCATTTCCTATGGTGAAGGCTCCAAATTTAACCAACTAAATATTAAATTTCTGAATCTACTCCTGTCTGTCACACTCAGATAATAATCTCATCTTTGAAAGAGGAGAGACTCCTGGGTGTGAACACTCAAATTCTCTACTGTGATCTTCGGAATGAATGCACATTTTTCCTCTCCATATTCTTTTACCCTACTGTTTCAAGAAGAAGAAATATCCTAGCTCCTTTCCAAGGACCACCCTAACAAAATCCTAAATTCCACCTTTCACCAATTCATGGGGGACTTTTGCCTCAATCTTTAGACTTGATCTATAACAATATCCTCCATGGTTAAAAAAAAAGAAAAAGAAAAGAAAAATGTATCTTTTAGAGCTTACCCTCAAGCCATTGTTCTCATATTACTTCCATTCATTAACTCTTTTCATCAAAGGAGGAGAAGGAAGAGGGAAAAGGGGGAGGACTTGCCAAATCATTTTTCTTTCATTCACTTAAATCTTCATTTTCTTGGAGCTGTCTTCTAACGACACCATTTGATTCAAACTCATAACATCTGATGGGAATATCTATAGTTTGCATAAAACAATGGCTACTCCTCTTCCTCTTGTCATCCCTGCCTTGATTTCTTTTGGAATCACCCATTTTTATACTCTTAGTCCAGCTGCATTAATTGATCCTATATTAGCTCCAAGAGTGGGCATGTGTAACCTAAACATAGACAGAAAACTCAATATAGGACCAAATGTTGGGTCTGGGATCATTATAGATCTTCATTAGAGCCAACTAGAACTAATCCTGGGAGTGAGGTTGGTGGTACCCTAAAAGAGGAAGCTCTTTCTATTTGTCTGGACTTGGATCTGAATGGATATAACTTGAGACTGCTACTGCCATCTTATCACAGTGAGGAAAGCTTTTCAGAAACCAGAGTCAAAATAAGAAGCAGAGTGAAGAGATGAAAAAAGAAAAGCTGCCTCTCATTTCATTAACTGAGCTCCTCAATCTAACCATAGCCAGTAAAAGAACTAATCTTGAACTTTATAGTTGAACTTTATAGAGAGTCAGTGGACTCTCTTTTGTTTCAACCAGTTAACAGTTCTGAGCTTATCATTTACAACAAAAAAGCAATGATTTCATTATCTTCAAAAGATTCAATAGTTGGTATTTGTTGGAACTAATCATTCCCTTCCTTAATCATGTACTCTTCCTTCTATCTTTACCCATTTTTTTTCTGATTCTTTCTTTAGCACCCCCCCCAAGTCTTTATACATAACATTAAATTTTAGAATATCAGGGCTAGGATACATATAAGTAAAGAAAGGAATATGTATTGAGATCTTTGGGGAAGATAAAAGTGTAGACACACTGTGACTAGATTTAGAATACCACATTATTTATTAAAACACTGTAAAAGAGTTGTCATATGCAGAGAAAATAGTTTTAAATTTTGATTTCAAGTTATTGTTTCTATTTTGATTATATAAAAAAATCAAATATCAATGAGACACCCCCGAATGGTGGTTTTTGTAACAATGATGCCTTTTATTCTAACTAGAAAAAATAGTAGAACTGTGTTATTGAATTTTTATACTTGCACACTTTCTGCAGCACAATTAAATTGGCTTTCACCTCAGGTTTTAGAAAGCAAAAGGTTAGAAAATACAATAAAGAAACATAATTTCCAAAAAGAACTGAAAGTCATTGGACTGTGAGATGTTTTAAATCATATCAAAAAAGCAGAATTTATGGCCTTATGAGTTATGGAAAAGAAAATTGAATTATGTTTTATTTTTAAAACACAACTACTAAAAAGGTGTTTCCATAGTAACAAGGTCAATACCAGAGGCCATTACAGACCTTCCTCTTTCCTGATAGTGAGTTTAAAGATCCTTTTCAAATACTGCTTTAAAAGCCCTATAAAAAAAAACCGTAGCTTTTCTGATCATTCATCTGAACCCAAAACGAGGAAAAACACACATGGTGTATTGAATTTTTCATGTTTTAAAGGTTATTAGCATTTGTGGCTGTCATATTTTCAGAAAGAAGCCTGCTTGACTAGCAACTGTGCCAACCCCTGAACATGGGGTTTAATTAGCCTGATTGTAAACAGGGACACACAGAAGTTGTTTGCATTAGTGTGCAAACAGAAACAAAAGGTAGCACAGTATTAAAAGAGCACACTTCTTTAACATCTAAATATTGGAAGAGTTAAGTAAATAATCCCTGTCATTAGAAAAATTTCAAAGGCTCAGATAAAATATCATAATACCAGTAGAAGATGACATAAGCCACATTTTGTTTACCATCAAAATAAATAGATTTTTGGCTGCAAAATAAATTCATTTAACCCCACCAGGAAGAGAACTCCCCTTCCTTTTTCCTCTGTGTCAAACTGTCCTATTCATCTGATAGTCATTTGTACAGCTTTATCTTCTTTGCTAAACTGAGTCCCTTGAGAACAGAGATACTCTATTTCTCTTTGTATTCAAGACAGTATCTCACATGACATTTTGTACATAAAAATACTGAAAAAAATTAGTGGAAGATGGATCATGGAAAATCATCACAAATCAGTAAGTAAGATAACAAAACCTCTGACTTAATTTTAGAAATGATGTGTTGGTTGGTATATACTCATGATTTTAATCTTTTTAAACCAAAAGGTCTAGACCCTTATTCACAGAATCATTAGCTGTTAAAAAATAAATCCAATTGCCTGGCTCATATATCAGTGCTGTCAGGATCTCTGCAGGTGGGCCCAGGCAAAAATAGGGTTTTTTTGCTGATTTTATTTTATTCATTTATTATTATTTTTTCAGATAGCCATACCAGGAGTTTCATTATGACATTTCTATATATATATATACATTATATCCTAAATTGGTTCATCTCCTCCATGTTTCTCCTTTCTACCTTCTTTCTTACTCCCCTTAAGGTGATTGACAATAGTTTTTAAAGCTATTCCCATGACTCCAGCATGAAGTCAGAGTTGGAAATCATTGCTTTACATTATTTTCCTGGAGCACAATTGAGGATTAATTTATTTACTTACTCATTTTCCTAATTTACTTCCTATATTTCCCCTCCCCTCAATATTGTTTTGCAGTTCTATGTATACCAAATCAATAAGACTGTTTATTATAACATAATGATTTGTTCCTTAGAATCATTTTCCATAATAAAAACTTTCAATTAAAATAGTTTGGTCTCATATAATTAAAATTTTAGCCCAAAGCCAGTTGTGGTGATGCAAACCAGTAATCCCAGAACTCAGAACACTGAGGCAGGAGGATCAGGAGTTCAAGGCCAGCCTTAGCTACATACAGAGACCCTGCCTCAAAAATTTTAAAAAACAAACAAACAAAATTAACCCAAATTATTATTTATTATATTATTTAACCTACTTATTAGCTTTATGTTGCTATAAATTTAGCTTTTGAGAGATAGAGCTGAATATAGAATCAACTAATAGATACTAAATAGGTATTAGTAGGATCAGGATTAAGTGATTTGAAGACAAAATAAACATGACTGATGTTTATGCTTTCTCCCTTTTATTTAAATACTCTAAAAAGCAGTTCTTTGTTTTCACAAAGAAAAGGCCATATTAAATGTAGTTAAATATTTCTTGTTTTCCTCCAAATTAACTTGAAGCATATTTTCTGTATTTTCCTGGTAAGCTAGAAGCTGTACAAGCATATACACCTCAAAAGGAAGTAATTTTGCAGAGCAATAATTAATAAAAAGGAAAACAAATTATCTCGTGAACTGCATTATCAATTAGAGCTATTCATCAGGTTTCCTTCTTGCTTTTTTTACTCACAGATACCATTCATTGAAGACCCAATATTCTTGCATTGCTCGACATTATGTCTTAAATTAATTTTACTTTGTCTTATTTAGTATAGAGAAAATATTCAAGGTGCCATGGAAACTCCTAATGAATTATTAATTTATTAAAAAGTATTTATTATGCATTGTGTAAATCCAGTGTTTAAAGCCAGTTTGAGCTGGTTTAATTCCACTGTATTCTTGGCCCTATGAATATAAGTTACCCATCCTTACCTGGTGAAGCTATGTGAAGTAAAGCATAAAAACTGTAGATTAGACTAGCAGCACACACACTTTTTTCTGGTTTTTTTTTTTTTTTGTAGTAGGATTTGAACTTAGGGCCTTGAGATTAGAAGGCAAGTACTCTACCACTTGAGCCATTCTTCCAGCACACACACTTTTAAAGTTCAAGGAGAGTAACATTTTTACAATTTGGGAACCAATACCAAGTTGCTAATGTTTTACTTCATCAATTTTTAAAACAAATAAATACCAGTGCCAAGTATCACCATTAGTTAAAGGATAAAGCATTTTAACAAGAAATAATTAATAAAATCTTAGAGGAGAATGAAGGGCAGCTTTCAAAATGACTACAATTAATTGTAGAATTAGAGAGTAGGAGAAAAACACACATTATTTTTGTCTGTTTTTTGTTTTGAGTTGAGGTGTCACTACATAGCCCAGGGTAGCCTTGAACAATGGATCTTCCTGCCTCAGGCTCCTGAATGCTGAGATTACAGGTATGCAGCATCAAGCCTGGCTATGCTGGCTTCTTTATCCTTCTCATTTTGGTCTAGACTGATGAAATTTTGTTAAGAATAAACTCAACTCTACTTGGTTCCTGCTCTCACTCTTCCAAAATCTCTTCCTTATTCTAATTGTTAAGGCTGGTCATTAAAATGTTAAGTAAACTTTCTTTGATCCCTTCAGCATCAAAGAGTATCATGGAAAAAATGCACATTTACTTATCTGTAATGATAATCTCCTATTTTTTCAAATACCAAAGGTATTTCTGTCACCTATCTATTTATATGGAGGCTATAAGTCAAAGACTAACAAATGTAACCACAAAACTTACATGTGTGGACCCAATGACACTACCCTTGTTATTACAATTCCGAGAATCAGAGTTGTTAAAACTGTAGAAATAAAGGAAATCTGAAAAAGAAAATGTAAAAACATTATCAGTGTAGGATATAGGTTATTTTACTTAAATTATTACATCTTTTTAACCTGGGTAAATGTATACACAGGTTACTTTTATACAATTCTTTAGTGGTATGTTGATAATGTCAGGTATGCAACTTCTTATCAGATCACAGTCTTGGACTTCCCAACCCCAAACAGATGAGCAAGTATCAAATATGACTGCTGTAATCTCGCAACGTGACTTTAAACATTTTTGGTGGCTTTCTGATAGAATATAAAACTGAGACTTTAAGTTTATGGAGGTAAAGTAGAAATGATGTTTTCTTTTCTCTTCAGGTCCTATTTTAGTGTTGACTTGTGCTACTTTTCCTTCTATAATTGTTTTTCTGCTTTTATCTTTTATCTTACACTTTGGCTTCTAACACAACAAACTTATCTCCCCAATAATTTTTTATTTGTAAATTTTTTTAAGCCTCTGCTTTTTGCTGTTTGTTCTCTAGCTCTTGCTCTGTTTTTCCTGTATGGTTTGCACTTTGGTGCATGTTTCTGAGTCTGTTCTGCTTTTTCCTCTCTATGTTGTCACCATTTCAACTGGTTAAAATATAAACGGCTCTATGTGTGCATGTGCTCTGTGAACTCATTACATTAGATCTGTGCTTCCATTCTTAATTTTGAATCAATAAACACATTTTGGATTTGTTTCTCTGATAAATAAAAATACCAAATTGGTTTTATTTCATGTGATTCTTATTAACTTTGCTTCCTAAGTTATTAATGTTCAATTAAAAAGAGATTTCTATTAAGAGTCCACTGATGATTGAGAAACAGAAAGATTAAATACTGTGTTCAAGTTCACACTAGGAAATGATAGGGAGGGAATTCAAATGCATGTGCCTGACTTCAGATTAGGACTTCTTACTACTGTGCTGTGTTCATTGGGAGATTTAGATATGTAGATATTTCAGTGTAGCACTTCCAAAGGGCATTTGGGGAAAAATGTATGTTAACTATTAATAGTTTTCTTTTCAAGAATGCTACTCTTTGTGTTCTCAGAAAATAACATGTATGTCTACACTGAAATGAAAAATTGTTCAATCATTCAGATAATTGACACACAAAAAAATCTTCCTTTGATGCAACCTTGCTTATTTTTGGATTACTGCTAGTAATGGAAGGTGTAGTGATTAGAATAATCCGGAACATCGTCTCTATCCTCAGCTCTGTCTAGAAGGAAGGACTTCATAACTGGATACTCAACATCAAACATCATAAGAAAAAGTAAGCGTTAGTCAACTGTTCAAATTTTCAACATAAAATATAAAAGTATCATATGAATAACCTTTTTCAAAATTCTTCCTCAGTATGCTTGTCATCATATAGACATGGCACCAACAATAATTTGGCTAAAATGCAAACATTCCCTGATGCATCCAAAGACTAGTCTATGCAAATAAGCTTATGTGATGAGTTGAACAGGAAGAGTGGCATTTCTCTTTAGCAATAAGAATCAAATATTGGTCAAATTCCCGATCAATACATTGACATTTAAATCTATTGAATAGAGAATAGACATAATAAATGTTGTTGATTTACAAATGAGATCATTCAAGCTATTGAAGTGATTCATGCTTATTTCTTAGTTTAACTTAAAAAAACTTTAAGTGGTACACAGAAATGTAAAGTTTGAATGTATTAATGGGGTACTCTGTAATGCCTAATACATGGATATAGTGCATAATGGGTAAATCAGTTTAAAGCCATTCATCTCTTCAAATATTTATTATTTTTTGTGGTACCTAAATTTTATTTTACTAAAACTACCTACAAAATAGTTGGAACATGTTTCTAATAGGTAAGATTTGCTTTAAGGTAAGTTTTTTGCATTTTTAAAATTTAATATGTACTATCCGGCACTAGTTAGGTTCTCTCCCTTAGAAAAGAAAAAGGAAAGACAATTTAGTTGACATTCAGCAACTATTTCCTGTAAGTTCCCCCAATAGAAGCTAGGGATTCAACCACAGTTTACTTGAGCATAATCATAAGTAAACCAAAAGAAACTGAAGATGAACACTAAAGATGTAAACTAAAAATGAATAACTGAAAACTTTGCCAAACAGACTGTAGACAAACAAAATTAATGCAAGTAACAGAAAGCATTTCATTTCTATGCCTATTTAAAAGTGAAAAATTACCTTCCCAAGCTTTGCTATATCTCGGTACATGGACAATGGCAGAGTAAAGGTAACTGTGGAAAGTATAATAATGAAGTGTCGACCAATAAACAAGTTCTCAGGATCAACTAAAATACAATAAATATTATTTAATGTTTACAGGAATAAGAAATACATGGATGATACAACTAAGTAGCCAAGTACTTTCTAAATTGAGAAAGATGATGTTACTATATTAAATTATAGCTTAGTACAATTAATGGGAAAAACAGCTTGCTTACTTAAAAAACAATGCAATGTAAAAATCTTTCTATAGGGAACTTCAAATATAAAATATTGTAAGTATGTGAAAAATAATAAGCCAGGTGTGTTGGCTCACACCTGTAATCCTAGCTACCTGGGAGGCTGAGATCAGGAGGATGGCAGCTTGAGGCCAGCCCAGGCAAATAGTTCAGTAGACTCCATCTCCAAAATAACCAGAGCAAAATGGACTGGAGGAGTACTCAAGAGGTAGAGTGCCTGCTTTGCAAGCATGAAGCCCTAAGTTCAAATCCCAGTCCCACCAAAAAACAAAAAAAAGAAGAATATTAACTTTAAATACTATAGAAAGGTAAGCTAATACTTTAGGATCAACATAGATCACAGAAATTGCAAGATATGTGAGGGAACCCAACTCTTCTATTTTCAAATGTTTTATTTATAGATTATTATGGATCACATAAACAGAACTATATAAAATAAACTTATTAAGACCCTCAAAAGTCTTGTCTTTACTTACCCCCTGGGAGCCTTTGAAAAACTTTGCTCAAAGTATCTCCTGCTATTATGTTGTAACTTATCATAGCTAAAAATATAATTAAAATAACAGTCATCAATAAGCCATCTCACATTTTATCTCAAATATTTTGAGTGTAATCCATATTACTTTCCAAGTATTGTTGTACTTCTACTACTTTTAAATATATATTATGATTACCAATATGTACAATCTTAAAAATAACAATTCAAAAGATTTATGGTATCAATTTACATTACAAAATTGTCACTTTGTAAATGGATTCATCCCAGAACACCCTTAAATAGTGAGCTTTGATAGTTATTTAAAATGCAGTTATTTTGTTTTTATAGTCCAGTTTCTACTTTTTCAGGAACACATGCACTGATTAAGTGAAGAATAGCAATATTAAAGTTTGAAGGTACCAAAATACCCACTTCTGTGGGAACATTTGGATCTAGTTATTTGAACAATAGTTTCCATAATACTGATATAAAAAACAAAGTCACACTTATAATCCTAGCTACTTGTGGGGCAGAGATCAGCCAGCCCTAGGCAAATAGATCATGAAGTACTGTTTCAGAAATACCCAATATGAAAAGGTTGGTGGAGTGACTTAAGTGGGAGAGTGCCTGCTTAGCAAGTGTGAGGCCCTGAGTTCAAACTCCAGTACTGCCAAAAACAAAATAAAAATAAATAACCAGACCAAAAAATGGACAGGACGTGTGGCTCAGGCAGTAGATCACAAAGCCCTGAGTTCAAACCCCAGTCCACCAAAACTCTCTCCCTGAAAAATGAAGTCAATCTAGTCACTGGTTTGCATTAATATTTTATCCATTTAAGAAGTGCTAGATGACTCACTACTATGGTATAAACTTTAAATAGCATGTTACCCTAGTACATGACTTCCAAAAATCCTTAGTTTTTTTTTAAGTGTGTTGAAATTTAAGAGAAATTTGTTGCTTCCCCTTCACATTCAATCCCAGATCATTCTATTTTTGCCAGACAAGGAAAGCCCAAACATTAACCAGATAAAAATTATCCTCATTTTATTTCAGAAACATGCCCAGAAAATAAGGAAGGGTTAAAGATATAAACATTTGAAAAGTATTTCAACTGCTACTTTTATCATTCTCAAATGATAAAAATAAAACAATTTTTATTCAGAAAAGGTTGGATGTTAATACAAATAATTCCAGTATTCATCTTCACAATCATCTTACCTATGAAAGGATACAAAAATTGTAGGACAGAGAGGAGGAGATACCCTGGAAAGCCAAAGGTTTTGTTGACCAAAGACTGGTAGGTGTCTGTTCCAGAGAGGGCCCCTCCTTTTATTAATAAAATAAGGGAAAAGTCTGTGGCAAAAAATAACAAACAAATGTCATTTGATACATAGGGTTTTCAGATTGTGACTTAATTACCACTGAGAAAAGGGATTTTTTTTAAAAAGAGTGTATTTAATCACATAATATTTCCATGACAAAGCTATCCTTTTTCCAGAAAACATTATGAAACTGTACAGTTTCCAGTTACCTAATTTTCAATGAGGATGCAAATATACTTAACATACCTAGGAAGTGCAGTGGACAGAAGAGGGAACACATGGTCAAGGTGCCAGAACTCCATTTTGCTTTCTTACCCCAACCACTGTTATTAGCATGTGTCTCAATTGTCCACACACCAGAATGTAGGTTACCAGATACTTTATAGGTGTTCAATGTGTGAAGACAGAATGAAATTTTGTAGGCGTTTTAAAAAATAATAAATCTAAGAGACTCAGAACATTTATTTTACAAAGTAAAATTTGTAACTTCTCTTTATAGTTATTATGGGTAAGAGAACACTGTAAGAATTTTTCTTTTGAAATTTACATTATAGAAATTTCAGAATTAAAGTTAAAAATACAAATATATAGAAATGATAGTTGAAATTTAGTCTCTTTTTTCTCTATGTCTTTTCACTAAAAGACCTTACAGTTGTACTGTATACAAATGTCTGCATAAGGTTTGGTATTTGCTTCCTGTTTTTCTCTATCTCATGTTTCCACCATCCTGATTTCTTTTTTATCTTGTAAGAAATTTGGAAATGTGTTAAAATACAAAAGAGAAAACACAATCATTGCAGAATGGTTTCCAAGTTGCTTCCCTTCTGTATCACTGGTTTCTTTTCACAAATTCATCAATGATCTCTAAGCTGGTAACTTTAACTATCTCCTAAACCTTCGTATTGTGTGTTTACTTTTCTTCCAGATGTTTTTGTTCTATTATTTCTTGCTTTTGTTTTCTAGCTTCCACTTTTCTTTTACTCACCCATCTCTGTCGGGCTTTGTGACATCACTCTCTCCTACCCTTGTGTTCCTACCATTTTGACATTTTTACTGACTTTTACTAGTTTCTTTTAGTCTGCTCAGTTACTAGATCTTTGGACTATTTGCTCTTCAAGATGTCTACTGTGATCTCATCATAACTGGTTTCAATTTTTATACAGATGTCAGTAACACCTAAATTTGTGTCTGCAGCTCATAGACTTCAAAACTCCAGAGTTCTATATCTAGCTGCCTAACACATATCAAAGGCATCTCAACTTTATAATGTCCAAATTCTAATTTGTGTATTTGTCCTGGAACTTGCGACCCTTTCCATATTTCTCTGATCTATGAATAATATTAACAGAAACTTGAGAACTGCCCTACACTTCCCAATATTCATTATTTTCTATATTCCTTTGGTCCCTAAGCCCATTAACTATTGATTTATAAATATTGGACAGTAGCTCCTAATTTCTTATCTCTAACCTGCTTTATCGTAGAGCTTTGGCCTTTATAATTTCTTACTTAGATTGCTGCAAAAACTTCCCTCCAGTACTTTTATACACCAAGATAGTTTTTATATCCCTTCCCTACATTCCCCACCCACCAAGTGGATCAGACTTTAGCATAAATCTAATCATGTCTTTTGCTTGAACTTCTCCAGGGAGACCTACTAGTGCTTTGCATAAAAATAAACTGCTTTTCATGGGTGGAAAGAATCACTATTTGTGTGAACTTTCCTAAGTCTCATCTGTGAGACAAAGCAGCATGCAAGCTTGAAGAGTAGCATGAGGCTTATGATGCCTAAATGTAGCCCACAATGCCTGGTGCATTATAGAGATGAAATGAATGAGAAGTTATGCTACTCTTATTTGTTTTTAACAAGTTGCATATGGAGGTTGGGGGGAAAAAAAGGAACATTGTATTTGGAGTAAGGTAGCAATTATATAACCACAAAACTCTAGCAGATACCTCCACAGCACTATTCTGTGTGCCAGGCCTCTTCCCAAATGCTTTACGTATAATCTTCACAATAACACTACATAGAAGGTATTATTATCTCCATGTAATAAATGAGCAAAAGAGGCACAGAAAGTTAAGTAAATGACCATTTCCACCTTGCTCATCAGGGCTCAGGCCAAGCAGGCCTGCCTCAGAGTCCATGCACTTACTCAGTACCTCAACTCTGTTACTAGAAACTAAAAACCCGGTGTAAGTAATTTTCATCTATTTAAGTTTCAATTTCTGCCTCCCTAAAAGTAAACTATGAATGCCTTCTTTATGGAGTCAGAGGATTTGGTATTGTGGCTGCATGAAGTTTGGCATCTAACCAATCCTTAGGACGTGGCAATGATTATTGTTTTTTGACAGCCTTCTTCTCTGCCTCTGCAAACCCCTCCAACTTTCCCTCCCCACTTATGAGCCTCAGCCCCACACCTCAGCCAGTCGGAATCACTTGCACATTTCCACATTTCTATCTGCTTGGAGTACCCATCCATTTCTTTTCAAGTTCACATTTTCCTCATGAATAGGCATCTCCTTCTTCCAATAATATTCCTAATCCTTTGAGGCAGGGTTAAATGTCAGAGTTCCTGTCACCATGCACAGATTTTTATTATGGTGTTTTTCATCATATTACAATTATGTGTCTATATGACATTCTACACTGTGAGCTTCATAAGAGTGGATAAAGTTTTTCATTGCTATATTGGTAACAGTATCAATTGGCTGGCACACTGCTGACCTGAATATATTTGGTGAATGAGTTAATATCAATATAGCAGGTTTGCTATCTATCTGATTCTAATTTTATGTGATAAGTGACATAATAAAGAAATTTTAATCTATTCTATAAGCAAAATGTTTGTAGCAATTCTATGTCCTTTGCTTTAAAAAAGGAAATGCTTCACAAAGAGTTGAAAAGTTCCTTGGAGGATGAGCAGAGCTTTACCAGGTAGAGAGGAAAAGGAATGCCAGGCAGGAGGACCATAATCCAGAAAGCAGTGTGAAAGCATGTTCTGTCTATGGGAAATTAAATAGTCCAGAATGGCTACAGGGAAGGTCTGCACTTAGCAGTGGTGGTGACTAGTTAAAGTAGCTGCAGATGAGACTAAAAATGTAGACTGTGGCAAACTCATGAAGGGATTTGATTGCAGTAATATTTGTTGTTGTCTTTGCAGAGTCTTGGAGTGCTTTGAAATGTGGGGGGTGGTAATAGAGGCAAGGCTGAGGCTATAGATAATTCTTGCAGCAATAAGGAAGACTGATCAGTAGACAGATGCTGGAGGCAGAAAAAACTGAATGGGAAAGCCAATGAGGGCTGAGTCACTGAGAGGAGACATCATAGATACCATACAGGTTTGGTTAAGACTACATAAAATGAGATGAGAATGCTGAGTTTTATAACACTTCAAAATGCATTGCTTCAAGTTCACAATTTCTAATGATTAAATGATAAATATAAATGTTTTCATCCACTCATTAAATATAGTCTACAAATATAGACTCTTAAAAGTTTTTAGATATTTCAATCAATCACTATAATATTTTGGTCTCCCTTTAAAGATGGGCACATTTAAAAATGATCCATGAATCTTAATATCAGACCACAAATTCTAAAGTTGATACGGAAAGAGTAGGAAATACTCTGGAGTTAGTAGGTATAGGTAAGAACTTTCTCAACGAAACTCCAGCAGCACAGCAACTAAGAGATAGAATAGATAAATGGGACCTCATAAAGCTAAAAAGCTTCTGTTCATCAAAAGAAATGGTCTCTAAACTGAAGAGAACACCCACAGAGTGGGAGAAAATATTTGCCAGCTATACACCAGACAAAGGACTGATAACCAGAATATATAGGGAACTTAAAAGACTAAATTCTCCCAAAACTAATGAACCAATAAAGAAATGGGCAAGTGAACTAAACAGAACTTTCTCAAAAGAAGAAATTCAAATGGCCAAAAACACATGAAAAAATGCTCACCATCTCTAGCAATAAAGGAAATGCAAATTAAAACCACACTAAGATTCCACCTCACCCCTGTTAGAATAGCCATCATCAGCAACACCACCAACAACAGGTATTGGCGAGGATGCGGGGGAAAAAGGAACCCTCTTACACTGTTGGTGGGAATGTAAACTAGTACAACCACTCTGGAAAAAAATTTGGAGGCTACTTAAAAAGCTAGACATTGATCTACCATTTGATCCAGCAATACCACTCTTGGGGATATACCCAAAAGACTGTGACACAGGTTACTCCAGAGGCACCTGCACACCCATGTTTATTGCGGCACTATTCACAATAGCCAAGTGATGGAAACAGCCAAGATGCCCCACACTGACGAATGGATTAAGAAAATGTGGTATCTATACACAATGGAATTTTATGCAGCCATGAAGAAGAACGAAATGTTATCATTCGCTGGTAAATGGATGGAATTGGAGAACATCATTCTGAGTGAGGTTAGCCTGGCCCAAAAGACCAAAAATCGTATGTTCTCCCTCATATGTGGACATTAGATCAAGGGCAAACACAACAAGGGGATTGGACTTGAGCACATGATAAAAGCGAGAGCACACAAGGGAGGGGTGAGGATAGGTAAGACACCTAAAAAACTAGCTAGCATTTGTTGCCCTTAACAGAGAAACTAAAGCAGATACCTTAAAGCAACTGAGGCCAATAGGAAAAGGGGACCAGGAACTAGAGAAAAGGTTAGATCAAAAAAATTAACCTAGAAGGTAACACCACACGCACAGGAAATCAATGTGAGTCAATCCCTGTATAGCTATCCTTATCTCAACCAGCAAAAACCCTTGTTCCTTCCTATTATTGCTTATACTCTCTCTACAACAAAATTAGAAATAAGGGCAAAATAGTTTCTGCTGGGTATTGAGGGGGGGGGAGAGGGAGGGGGGGAGTGGGTGGTAAGGGAGGGGGTGGGGGCAGGGGGAGAAATGACCAAGCCTTGTATGCACATATGAATAATAAAAAAAAAAAAAAAAAAGATCCAAAA